GGCTTCATGAAGCCAAGAGGCCAAGAGCCCAAGACGGCCCTCCAAACTAAGGGACGAGCCTTCAGAGCCATCTGTGCGTCCAAGCCAAGGTTGGACTTTCCCTGGAAGGCCCCGAGATCCAATCCATTGCAGAACCTCCTTGGCGGCAGCAACAGCTTAGGGTTCAGGGTTCAGGGCTTTTGGATGTCAATGCGATTTTAACGTATTCAGGGAAAAGTGTTGTTCGGGTACAGCTCGGTCCCGAAATCAGTACAAAGGCCCGAACCACGCAAGGACAGCGACGGTAAGACCTTCTACAAACACTACCTCACAAGCCTAAACCCAAAACCCCTAAGCCCTACACCCCCAAACCCTAAACCCAAAACCCCCTAACATCCCCAAACCCTAAACCCAAAGCCCCCAAACCCTACACCGCCAAACCCTAAACCCAAAACCCCTACAAACCTGGAACCCTAAGGCCGCAGACCGCAGACGCCGTCCGCAGACCCCAAAACTTCGAGGGAGACTGAAGGGCTGCGCTAAGAAGAGCATGCATGCGTAATACAGTACAGTATAGTATCATATCATATCATATCACATAATGACATAATCTGATATTATATACTGTAACCCAGAGGTCTTATGGTCTTTCGGGCTTCAGCTCTTGAGGAGCCTTGTTTGTTGAGCACCTTTTTCCTCTCGCCACAAGTCTAGGTCTTACGGCTTAGGCTTGAGGGCTTCACCGCTTAGGGTCTAAGGTATCGTAAAATGACTGCAGATGGGATTTCGGGGTTAGGGCTTTACGCCTACAAACTTACTCTTACAAGCATCCTAAAGGTGGCAAGCATCTATTTGTGCAAGCCTCTACACCCTTACCCATACTATGAAAGCATCCGTTCCAAAAGCTCTGAGCCTTTCTTGGAAGCCTGATAGAACCTGTACAGGCGGTGGTGGCATAAGCGCGCGAACATTTTACTGGGGTGGCCTGTTCGAGAGGTCGTCTTCTTTCTGATGGGGAGCTGCCTGATACAAACGTTCTCTTCGCTAGGGTTCGGCACTTATAGGCGTTCGTGCTTCAAGCGGGGATAGAACGTAGGCTTCCTGGATTTCCGTGATGGAGGCAAGGGTCGTTGCTTTCGGCATGGCCATGAAGCCCACGACACCGAGGCCCAACGCCAGAGCCAAGGCAGCCTGCAGTCAGGGCAGGCGTCTGCTGGTGTCTGCTAAAATTCTTCGTACATCGGCTGCTCTGGCCTTCTTCACCCAACCACGGGACTGCGTGGAAGAGTCCTTCACCTCTTCTTCAGACTCCACATGGACGGCCTGCCGTTGCAAGGCTGCGGAGTCTACACAGGGAACATTCCAGTTGAGTTCAGATTCAAACCTGCGACCGCAGCCCAGAGTGCTGAAGTTCTCTGTTGAGGAGACCTGTGAACATCGCAAGCTTGTGCAGAGTGCAGAAAGACCCGCAACAATCGACAACAAGTCGCCGCAAGTCTTACGTCGTACATGTTGCGTCAGCCGAAACCTCGCGCGCGCGATTGGAAGTCTCCTTCCTGCGGCCTGCGTCTAAATGCTCCGAGCGCTCAGCCCGAGACATCGATTGGTAAGACGTCTGTTATCGCCTGTTGTCCCGCTGCGCCGGCATCGCAAACTTCTTTGGCGATGCTTGTGCGGAGGGAGGGGTTCGAGACATTGGCTGCGCGTCTTCGAGTGAAAACCCGCATCCTGTCCGGCAAAGCCGAAGTCAAACCCTCCGTACCCAAGAAATGCAGAGCCGAAAGAGAAGCAGCCTCGAAAGCAGCAGCTTGCGCAGGAGGCGTGGGCATGATGGCAGCAGTATCCAAGTGGTGCACCGGGACGGAATGCCTCGACCCCGCGAACGGTCTCGTCAGGCACAAGTCTTTCAGTTGGGGCCGCTTCAAAAGCTTACGCAGGGCGGTCTGGGGCTCATCTGCCAGCACAATCATAGTGCATCGTCCGAGGATGAGTTCAGCTGCTCCTGACTAGACGGGCCAGCAGCTGCAGAAACTGATGCAGCCGAAGCCTTATGCCGAGCTTCTAGGTCTGGTCTAGAATTGAGAGCACATGAGAGCACGGGCTGTGCTGCCGAGGCACAGCTGTGCAGCTTGCGACGGTGCTGAAGCAAATGCTGCAAGCCCAAACACAGGTGGGGAGTTTGCAACAGTCCCAGCGCAAGCGAGTATCAACTGGCTCTGACTGTCAGAATGTGGCCAGTTGAGCAACATGTCTGAAGTGAAGCGCACTGGGGCTTGGTCCGGGGTGTGTGCTTGGAGGACATGGCCTTTGCGCCGTCGTGTCCCAAGGGTCTCCGATTTGGGGGACGAAGGGCTACTGATCAAGGGCGTCAGGATCTTAGACCAGTTGGAACTAGAATTTCAACTTTGAGTGTTTGCGCCCGGGGCTGAGAGCTCAACTTCTGCTTCAAGGCTTCAGGGGCTGAGCTTGGAATTGGGCTCGGGGCAACGATGTTCCCTTTGCACACCCCTTTCTTCCAGAGGCCTGTGGATGCAAGAGACAGGTTTGAGGATCAGAGGTGGTGGACAACTGCTCTAAATATCAGTCGGCCTAGCCCCTGCTGCGGTCGCAGCAGTGCTTAATTCGGACCTTTGGGCGGTTCCACATTGAGCCCGCCACCGGTCCTATGCAACTTATCCTCACGATATGATTCCACGTCCGGCCCACTACGCATGCCATGACGGCTATACAAAGCAGCCCATCCCCTGTCTTCGCTGCCCAATCGCTAAGATGCCACAAAGTACAGTTGACATTCCGAGCATCATGCCCAACGTTCAACACGATAAGCACGGGGGATGAGCATGACAAAGGATGCAAATCTTAAACTTCCAAACTGCGTCGCAAGTGCGCCAATATGGATTTTGAGTCATTGACGATGACACTTATGTCTGCGTTCGCACGCATGCAATCAGCGGCTGCATCAATAACTTGACGATAATATCTATATCTGTATCTGTTTATCGATCAATCTATCTGTCTACTTTTTAGCTACCACCGTAACTTTCTACCTATATCTACGTATTCCTCTATCTTTCTATGTAGTTCCCTACTCTGTTATGCATGCTTCACTTGCTCACCTGTTTGCTAATACAAAAAGAGGAATCTATACATACGCAATACGTGCACACCTACATACATGGATGCATGCATGCAGGCAGGCATACATATACACATTTGCGTATGTGCATATATTTGTACATATATGCAGGCAGGCGCATACACAGTGTGCAATGAAATATGCGTATAAATGTTAGGAAATACATAGCCTACACCGTTACTTACGAATGAACATGCATACGTACACACACAAGCACATACTGCATGCTTGCCCTAGCCTTTTCACTCATCCTCTGTCCATGGTTCCATTTGTCCTCGGCACTGAACCTTTCCACGTTTACAGTGCTCCCGCATTTGCAAGACCCAAGGTAGACATGCTCCTGGAGACCTGCGGCTCACAGAAGCCCGAGAGTGAAATTACCAGAACAGGTGCCAAGCTCGCTTCCATGAATTGTTTGTGTCAGGAATGAAACTCGTGATCTCGCCATCAACAGCACATTGATAACCTATGCAGAGTGTCATATTATAAGACCCAGGCTTGGTCAACAATGCCACTAGCATGAGGAGAGAAAGGTAAGGTTATAATAGAATGAAATTAGCAAACCTTTTCGTCTTGCTGCTAGCCGGCGGGAAAACAGCCTGCTTACGCATCTTCTTGCGACAAGAGGTTCTTGCATATTCATAGAAGAAGAGCTACGTAAAATTAAAATAACAAAGCGCGACGTACTTTGAAGCATGAACACCTGTATTCAGATACGATGGAGCTCGCCTTGTTCCACAGTATATAGATAGATCAGAAGAACTCTCAACAAGAGACTAGTTCTCATCTCAATTTCTGATTAGAAGCTTCTTCTAGTTGACGAGAAGTGCCTGCCAGCTTCTTTGCACTATTAAGAACTGATCGGTCGACCCGGGGAAGTGAAAACAGAATGCTTCAGGTGGGTTTGCACGCGTGATTCATTTTCCATACCTGGTAGAACCCCTAGATGGGTACTCAGACATATACTACACTCACACACAAACCTATGCCTCAACATAGACACACATGTGTGGTTGGCATTATATGTACATAAGCACACTTATACGTACAAGCTAGCGGCATGTATGTGTGCGCACATATATGCATATATAAATATATAAGTGTATGTATATATATATATATATAAGTATGTATAGACATACATATACGCACCGAACAACGCTTGCGGACCACAGTTATGTAGGTGCACATATGTCTATCACACATGCATTTACCACGGAAGATACTACACATGTGAACACGGATTTGCTTCGGCATCCGCAGCAAATCCGAACGCCCATATCACGTGCTAGCAATGACATGCACAGACATCATGGTGTCATCGTCAATTTGGCTGGACGCCATCTGGGCTTGAGATACAATCACTGACTGATATCTCTCCAGCCGCAGATGCTCAAGCCGTGTGCTGAATG